CTGGCCTAGTCTATTACAATGAGTTTGACTGTTTTATTAACACCCATAGGGTTATTATAATGTACGCTAGAGGTTCGACTAACGCTAGTGTGCAGTTGCAAATTGACACAGACAGCAACCAGTTTGAAGTTGACTTCCGGTAATGCATTTTTATGTAAAAAAGCGAGTGCATTTCCTCTCTGCACTCGATTATAAGAGCACATATCACGAATAATTCGTACCTACTATACTTCGTTTCAGCTTTGGTCCGAGCGCGGCCGATGTTATGAGCCGAAGGGCCAATCAAACAGCGCAAAAAGTGCACCGTCATGACGTGCTCTCTGCGCTTGATAAGACTAGCCGGCGAAGGAGCGCGCACAGAGAGACGGCGAATACCGGCTAGTCCTATCAACTGCCGAGAGCGCGCCATGACGTTGTGCCTCCTTCGCTGTTTGATTGGCCCTTCGGCTGATAAAATCGGCCGCGCTGGGACCGAAGCTGAAACGAAGTATAGGCACATTGGAACATTTCCAGTAACGCAGATGAAATAATTGGTCCGTTGCGGCGTTTTTATTTTAAAATCGTGGCATGAAAAACGGTGCTAAATCCGCTTCGTACATGTATTTATGTACACTGTCGGACACTGTTAGCGCGAACATGGCGTCGGCGCTTTCTAGCATGGGGGATATACGTGCCAAACGAACGAAGGAAATGTGGAAAACCAAAAAAAGAAGGCAAGAACTACGCAGTAACACTGGTTAAGTAACTTCTTGTGCCTGCAGACGATCAAAGTAAATTAAAAGTTAAGTAATATAGTCCAATTTGCAATAAATAAGTCTTACTTTATTCTTTATGCTCATGAATCTGTGCGAAGACGCTTGTTCTGTGTTCAAATCATCACCCGCACGCTCCAGATCTCTGCAAAAAGGGGGAAATCAGAGAACAGGTGCACGATAAAAACTGCCCAACATAGGAAATAATAAGAAAACACACCTTTCGTAGCCCACGTACATTATTCTTTACGTTTCGAACGTTTTTTTAACCACTCGTAAAGATGTATGATGGGGTCATTTTCATATAGTGAGAGCACAGACATATTAGCAATATATAAGCACCAACGGAATGCTGGCAAACTTTGAGCACACTCTACATACCTTTCGATCGTTATTTTGCTTAGAATCGTCGTTCGTTTCTACATACCTGCCATGGAAAAGAGGTATGGGCCTGAAATATAGCGAAGTTTAACATCGTTAAGTGGTAAAGCAAAGATGCTGTAACTAAAACAATTACACTTTCACAATATTAATAAATGTACATACTATTCAGTACAACTGAAATAACAAAAGTTATTTATGTTATTTTCCGGCGACGAGACAAAATTCACGCGCGTTTTCCCATAGGAATACACAGGAAGACTGGAAAAGTAGACTGCATGCCGTCTGATTCAATTTGCAACCGGAAGTCCCGTAGACACTAGCGCCAGCTGAGCGTCTAGCGTTTATTGTAATAACTCTATGTTAACACCATATGGCTTTATTTGTATGACAATACAATAAACACTCACTAGTTATAAAACATGAAAATGTTTGTTAGATATACCTAACTGCACCATGAAGTTACCAAAAAAAGAAGACACTGAAATAATAAATTACAATCAAACAAGATGAATAATCAGTCATGCACAGGTCGATACATCGTAAATGCTGTCATAAAAATCAATACAAATATTTCACTTACAAAGCCTCAGACTTTAGTAACGACAGAACAATGCAATACTATCTCCTTATAGTTGCTACAAGAATACTAAAAACGTTTATCAGAACTTGAGTTGTCAATTATAATTGGGAGATGCGTTTCCAAAATATTTTTATGATTTACCAACGGTCTTTCCTTCACAGAAACATACACTTTAAAGAAAATGTCAATTTATTGATTTTACCTGTTAACGATGAAAAGTTTAAAACACTTCACTTTAAAGCTTCACAGTAAACCTCGACAGTTCCAAATATTACTAAGAGGGCCGTTACCTCAGTCTTTAATATCTGAGAACAGAAAACAATATAATTGCTCTTCGCCTCAGTGGTATAGAACCTTTACAATAACATTTAAATGTTAATTGATAGTATAATTAAAGTAGCGGCGATGAAAATGAACGATGATGACGTCGATGCAGAAGGTAGAACCCCTGAGCTTCCGCTTGATCCCTTGTTATGGATGGATTCCTCTTTGCGAGTTGGTTTACTTGTCCATTTTGGCGTTGTCGCTGTTGCTTCTGGGGCAACGGGCTTCCTACAAAGTACCAACAGACTCAATTGAATGATAAAAATTATTGGCAATTTGAATTCAAATAAAAAAATTAATGTTTTCGACCCGAGCCCAGAGGCAAACCATGAAACTGAATTAGGTAAAATTTTAAAATGGTGCACTTGTTACCGCGGGCCCCTGTGGTTCCACGTGAAAAGTTAATAACAAATATTAATGAATGAAATGCTTTTTAAGAAAAGCTCCAATCCCCAACTTTTTTTTTCGTCCATATGTCCGTCCATGGATTTCCCGTTAAATCTAGCAGTGAACTTTACGTCACGGGACCTGACGGCACGTTATCTATAATAGACTAATTCAGTCTCCAGACTAAAAAGAGCGGGAAACTGACACCGCGTGAATGCCGTCACGAGGCCCATACACCAATTCCGTTTCCTTTCAAATTGTACTAGAGAAATGGATGTCCACGTAACCTATATATAAATTAATTTTCTTCGCTAAATTTAGCAGGAAAATTCACGTCACGTGACCTTGTTTCTCCGGTAGATTTGACAGGAAAATCGATAAAAATTTCTTGATTTCTTCGCTCGCGGAAATGACTCTTTAAAGTCCTATCAACAAATTTAAACGATCGCTTCTTAAATTCTTCATCATATGCATTATAGGATTTTGACATAAAGACCATTGCCAAGAGACAATTTTCAAAACTTCACCAAAAAACATTGGCAACCGCCACTTTCTTTTTTTTTTTGGGGGAGGGGGGGGGGGGGCGCGAAGCCTGTGATTGGATCCGAGTCCTCACCGAACGCTGAAGGAGCCCTCGTGTCCAAAACATGCTCAGAGCACGCGAGCGAGCGATGGCGGACTCGGATAATTGGCAAGGCAGCTACTAGATGGCGCGCACTTTTGGAAAAGGGTTCCGTTTTAGTGCTTTTAGCACGCCTGGCTGTAAACTCAAGAAGCGCATGACACGAAACCGCGCATCCAGTCAAGAGCGAGCGTCACGGGAGCGCATGGGCGCACTCTTAAAGCTTTCGAGGATGGTATTTGTGACTATCGGCGCCTCCAGCGAAATCGTTGGCACCTAATGACTAGAGCGGACAGCTGGGGCTGCCGGTTCGCTCGCCAGCCTCCTGGAGTGAAAAATGTATTCGCAGCCTTTGGCTGTCTAAAGACGAAGTAATAAAAGTAGCTTCGAGAACACACGGTGAAGATCGTCAATACCTAAGCCGCTGTACCTTTAGCTGTACCTAAGCGGCCACTATTCGGTAAAAAAAGACAACATTCAAGAGGTAGTGTCCTACCGGCTCTACGAAATTGTTGGGATAGTTCTGAACGTGTTTTCTTTTTAGAAAATAAGTATAATGATCTCTTCCATATTAAAAAATCTCGCCTTATATATATATACTATTTAAAATTGATTTAAGGGGAATTTTTATGCCGAATCCGGGCAAGAAATAAAAGTGGCCCAAAAATAACCCCATTGGCCATGGTCATCACCAGAGTTTAATGCCGACTACAAACAAATAGCCCAATTTGACTGTTAAGAAAACGATCTACTAAACTTGTCAAGGGACAGGTAAGAGGAGCAAAAAAGATCCTGGCTGAAATGATACCATTCAAAATGGTCCCGGAGAGAAGTACACACCGAAATGAATCTTAAAGGATACGGTCGAACTAGCCCATCTTCCCAACGCGTCGTACGGATTCGTCGTATATGCCGCTGCTATCACCAGCAAAAAAAAAAAAAAAAAAAAAATATTTATCGCGATGCTATTACAGATTCATCGGCCTTTTAGCGCTGTACAAATAACGAAGTTGATTTGGCCTTCTCTGTAGCTGGATTAGTTTTCGTTGTTGCAATATAAAAAAAGAACTCTAAACCATTTCCAGATTCAAATTTGTACATTATGAGCAGTGGGGACTCAAAAATATTAGCAGAAGTGATGTAAGGTCAGACCCCTTAAATACCCAGACGCGGCACTGCGGACTCGCGAATTGTCCAAGAGCGAGAGTAGCAGAGTTGTTCCCACTTTTGAATTGAGCGGGTGCTTCGCTAGTACTTTAAGGCCTGTTCACACATACATCGCAGCGCTATAAGCACAGCGCTGACTTTTTGCTAAGCGTGTGCTGACAGCGGCCTTCACCAGATTTATATAGCGCCGTCAGAACTGTTGTTCATAGCAGACGATAAGTAGCTGGAAACACGTGAACAGGGCTGTATCAGCGCACTAATGCATGTGGGAACCGGCCTTTAACCAGACAGACAATCGCTCGCTTGAGGCAATGTTTTCTGGAAATGATTATACGTTTTGGAAGAAATAACTAAGATATCATACTTTTTCAACAGGATGGGCCTCCAGAGCTCACAAACATGACGTCGTGGAGCCAATCCTTGAGTATAATTGTGGGGCTGAAGGAAGATGCACTCAGGAGTTTTTGCATTGTACTTTGGCCATTCCACCATAGATGACGGTATTGATGGTTTTCTGTAAAATGAATCGATGGTTGCGTTAGAAATCATGTCGTGGCCAAAGCTGCGAGCCTATAGTCATAAATAACCTGTTCTTACACTCTCATGGGAAGGAATCAACTCACTGTTGAATCGGTCTAAGCGTTGCGCTTCAATATAAATAACAGTTATGAGAAACGTGGTTATTAGTATTTGAAACCGTTATACAAGCAAGAGTTAATCACTGCTAGAAGAAATTTAAACACAAAAAGAATGATCAAACCATATCTTTTTTTTGTTTATAAGCTTACCCAGTTTTCACAAACGTGGTCCAAGTTCCCGTGAGTTCCTTCATAAACAACACCTCTTCTGAAGTGAAGTTTATGGCCTTCAACACACTTCTGGCGCCCTTTCCAATGGGGGGAGTGTATGTGCTAGTGTCGTTCAGAAGTGTAAGGAAACCAAGGGTGAATGGCAAATCGTCCATGTGTGTGATTCCATAAGACTTGGGCCACAAACTGTACGAAGGTCTGTGCGAAAAAATATATCTGTAAACGCTTATTCCTTGTTCGGCGGCAACTTCTGCGAAAAGGTTTGTGGGGCAGTCAACAGTTACGTCACCAAATATTTTCCCCACAATCGCGTTAATCGAGGCCTCGTCATGTTCAACATGATAGTCTCCAAAATATGCCTGGACAATTTCTTTAGCCATGCCCATTGGTACCCCTAACAAAGTGGAAATAACTACAGAGGCCGACAATCGGATATCGAAAGTGACAACGTTCAGCAGCTGAGGCATCTGGAATTTCAATGAATCCAAAAACAATGAGCCTTCATCGGGATTTGAACCTAAAAATATCTCTTTCGTCCTTAGCGACTTCCACGTGTCCGCTAAAAAGATATCATCCGGAAGAAACTCATCGTTATAGAGGGGAGAAAACAATTGATCAATCGGATCTCCATTCTTTAGAGTGCGGTATACATCTTGTGCGTCAACATTTTGTAAACATCGAATGATCCCAGAAAGATTCTTAGACCAGTCCTGTGCACCCTCAAAGCAACTAAGGGACCCAGCGACCTTTAAAAACTTTCCTGTTCCCGTAAGGGTAATGCCTATTATCAATGACAGTGGAGTGGAGCTCTGGAGAATGAGCCTGTGGAACAAATCGCGACTTTGAGGAGAAATAGCGTGCAGGCCGGCGGAGATCGCTCCTGCACTGAACCCCCATAGAGTGACGTCGTCGCGATTTCCACCGAACGAACCGATGTTACTTCGAACCCACTTCAAGGCAAGATTCTGGTCCCACAACCCCATATTACCGGGCAAGTCCTTGGTTCCCGACGATAAGAATCCAAAAATGCCCAGGCGGTAGTTGAAAGTCACGTAGATGACATCGGACAGGGCGACAAAATTTTCTGGATTATTCAGCACCAGTGATGAGTCCCCCCACTGAAACGCGCCGCCGTAGAGGAACACAATCACAGGAAGGCGAGCGTCGCACCGACCACTCTCTGAGCACAAGGATGCTGGCCGCCATACATTCAGATAGAGGCAGTCTTCCGATGATATTGACCGATTGAGATAATCCATGGTGATCTTGCTAGTGTAACGCAAATCAAACTGCCAGCATGGTAGAGGTTTCTTTGTTGCGCTGAAAATGCCTTTCCATGGACTGACGGGCACAGGGTTTTTGAATCGTAGTTCTCGCACTGGGGGTACAGCATACGGAATACCATAGAATGCATCCACATATTTTCCGGAGACAGTCAGTTGTTTGCCGAGGATAGCTCCAAGGTTGGTGTGAACAACAGGGCCGTCGCTTGAGGAGTTCAAACTTGGTAACAGGCAGCACACGCCAATGGACAGAATAAACACGTAAGGTTTAGTTTCAGTGGCCATCTAGGTTGTAGTAAAAGATACGTAGCTGTTATCCAGATCTTTTTCTTTTAAACTAGTCGATCACATTTCAGTCATTCTGCTAGGGTTGCTGGATTAGTATAGAAAGCATCGTTAAAGGGCACTACTATATATACCCTCGGTGACCTTGCAAGTTAATTTCTTCTTTCTACCTCCTTTCCCTTCCTCGAACCGATAGAATATTAATTCCAAACATAAACAAAATTCGTAGTGTTTCTATGACGTAAACGGCGCGAAAAATTAAAAACAAAAACAGATTGGTAAGATAGAAGTGTCGGCCTTCGTAAATATAGCAAGCGAATACCTGAATACTTTTAGTTATCGTTGATAAAAGAAAAGCATGAAAATAAAAATGGTCTTTTAAGATGTCGGTGGATAAAAATACATTCCTGTTTTCGCAAAAGTTGCCACCTGTTTCACATCAAAATAGTGTCTAAAAAAAAGAAGCTTGTCTTGATCACTCTGGTAAGTCCTGAAAGCGCAGAATGTGTCGTGTAGGTAGTATTAGTGTGTAATGATTCGCTATGCTTGGTTACAGTAAGCTTTGGTGGTTTCGAAAGCGTTTTTACGTGGTATAAACTCATATGCTCTAAGGTTTTATCAGAGTGATCAAAACAAGCTTAATTTTATTCAGGATTAGAATGTGCGACGAGTATTCATTAATGAGAAGTTTCCGTGGATCCTGCTTCTTCCGAGGATATATGTGGTGTATTGAATTCTCACACTTGGTACAAGGTACCTAACCACATTTCATAGCTTATTATCTATATTAATTATACAGGGTATTTAATCATTAATGTCCGGAAGCTCCAACGCATCTGAGCAAACATTGGCACAAATATAATTTATGCTGATTTACAGGCGTACGTAGTGGTGTCGAGTTCAATTGGTAACGTGCTTTTAAATGACATACCTTCAACGCAGATAGAACACTTCTAATCTTGTTGTTTAGCGTGAAAATAGTAAGTAGAAAATCAGTTGAACTAAGTACCAACGTCAAAGTACTTTGCTTTCCTTGTTGGGCATGGCAAATAAAGTAAACACGGGAAAAATATTTATCGTAGTCCCAGATCGACACCTACTTAACACCAAGCAAGTTAAAGTTCAAAAGAAGGCAAAGAAAATACGGCAAAAAAGTAAACAAAAGCACTAACTACAATTCCTAACACGTTCATCGTAAAACATGTTTGGATGGAAAGTTATCTAGAAAGGCGAAAGCTGACAGGCGCCGTCCTGAATAAAGCTGGACGTAAGGATTTCCTCCAGCATTAGCTAGATACCGCCGCCATTCTTTGCTTGACAACGCCATTCCTTACTTTTATTTACTGTGGGGTGAGTACGGTATCATTTGTTTAATGCACGCACCACAAAAAAACAATCGGTTCACTGCAAAACACCGAGAGAAGTGAAATTGACTTTCGAAATATTATTATTTTTACGCAAGACCACTCGAAGAAAAATACACCCGTTTGCTGCCAGAGCCATAAGGCAAATGATAATGCCATTCAGGTTTTTGTTATTACATTTTGGCAATGTAAATCGTGTTTGGTTGCTTTTGCGGACGACGCGCCTTTATTTACGACATAAATAAGTTATACGACCTCCACGGCAATTACTGCTTTTCAAGGATTCCATGAAGAAACTTGCCATAAGAGGAAGATTAGTAAGCCGAAAGCCTTATATGTCTCATCGAGCAGTCGACCTTTAAAGTCCTTGAGCGAAAACACATCGACGACAGGAAACCGACAGAAAACCGGCGACACGAAGGTACCAAAACCCATGGTTTGACACTGGACCAAGTGATAGCGTTCCTTGTGCCAGAATCGACGGAGGTGCTATATTCCTCCGAAAATACTTTTTGCTCTTGTCTCTTGGGTGGCGTAGAACCAGGGACTTTTCGTTCAGTAAACCGACGCGGTACCCTTCCGCCACAGGCGGAGGGGTACAGCGTCGAACAGCTGAACGAAAGTTCTTTTTTTTGTTTGTTTTTTTTTCAACGCAGATAGACCACTTCTAATCTTGTTGTTTAGCGTGAAAATAGTAAGTAGAAAATCAGTTGAACTAAGTACCAACGTCAAAGTACTTTGCTTTCCTTGTTGGGCATGGCAAATAAAGTAAACACGGGAAAAATATTTATCGTAGTCCCAGATCGACACAGTTATGTGCTTGGATCTAGAAAAATGAAAGACGTTTACAATCCCCTGCAACGCCGAATTAGAGCGCAGCTCTTGAGGAGGAGGAGGGCAAAGTACGGAAAGGAGGCGATGCCCCTCATCCTCTCCTGTTCGCTTCCCAATTAGGGGAAATTTTCCGCTAAATTTAGCCGGAAACGTTTTCCGCTAAACTTAGCGGGCAATTTTTTTCCGTTCAATTCAGCGGGTGATTTTTCCCGCTAAATTTAGCGGAAAAATGTTTCCGCTAAATTTAGCGGGTAAATTTTTTCGCTAAACGTAGCGGGAAAATGTTCCACCAAATATAGCGGAAGATTTTTTCCGCTAAATTTAGCGGAGAATTTTTTCCGCTGTAGCGTGGAAATTTTCCCGCTATATTTAGCGGAGAATTTTTTCCGCTAAATTTAGCGGTAAAAATTTTTTGTTAAATTTAGCGGGGAAAATTTTCCGTTCAATTTAGCGGTTAATTTTTTCCGCTAAACTTAGCGGGAAAATTTTTCTCCTACGTTTAGCGGAGAATTTTTTCCGCCTAATTTAGCATGAAAAATTTTCCACTAAATATAGTGGGGAAAATGTTCCGCTATATTTAGCGGGGAAATTTACCCATAAAGCACCGCGCGGTTACGCCGACGCCGTCGGTGACGGCGACGCCGCTCATGCCGGAAACGGGCGCCTAAGAGCTGCACTCTAAAAAATGCGTCCATGGATGTTAACAATAAAACTCCCGTTTAAACGGCGCTCCTTCGTTCCGATTGGTCGTGGCAAGTATAAATAAAAAGAGGGGGCGACCCGTGTGAGTCAGCCTTCTTTGACATTATTATATAGTGAGGTCTTGCTCCCTTGTTATCATGTACGGTCACCGACTTAGCTAAGAGTTCGCAGTGACGAGGCTGAGGGAAGAACGCGCTGATCTAACCTTCATTACTTTCGCTTCCACGATGCTGATAAAAAGTCTTGGGCTCAATCGGAAAAAAAAAAAAAAAAAAATGTCCTCGGAGGTGTGCTTTGAAAAGTCGGGTTTAAAACTTGCCCATAATGAACATAAGGCAATGATCACTTTAGTCACTAAGAATTAAATAAAGACAATTAAACAACAAAGTCATGCACGTGTCTTGATTGCATCATATGTAAATCGTATAGATGTAGTATAGTTGTCGTAAAGTTCTAAAGATAACAGCTACGCTGGTCCTCCATCTTCACGTGAAGTGGATGTGTTCTACAATTCTTGTTTACGGATGTGGCGGTACCCCTTTGCCACGGTCGGTGGGGTACCGCCACATCCGTAAATTATGTGTCTGTATTTATTGTATCGGCGTTTGGGCTTTCGCCTTCAAGTCGTCTTAGAAATGACATAAAAGACCGTCTGTTTTTTTTTTTTTTTCTTCACTATCACTTTGATAGGTTCACCGCAGAGCGAGGCCGAGATTGCGAGGCGGCTCAATTCAGGTGTCCGTGAATTTTGTGATCTCCTTTGTGCAGAGGAAAGAGCGATGTCACAAAAAGAGTATACGCGCGATCTGACCGTGCGCATTTCTTCTACTCTGAGCAAAATGAAATTGATTAAAATACGCGCCGCGTTCTTTTAAAGTTTAAACTACCGTCTCGGGTATAAGCTCTGAGTTGAGTCAATGACACGTTTGCCACGGAGCATACCTAAAATTGTACCACTTCCTATTTCCCCCACATCGGAAAAAGGAGAGCTCTGAGGGAGTTATATATTTTTAGTAGAGCATACTGTAACGGGGAGAAGTGTTGAGACTTATTTGATACGAATACTAAGGGCTATAAGGTCGCGTGTTTAAAATTTGTAAGCAGCTTATGTCATGTAATTGATGTGATTGCACATTTTCGGGGGCAAGGGTTTCGAACAAGCAAATATTAAAAGGCAGCTTTGCTTGGTAAGCTGATGTTATCTCGATCAGTGTGGAGAATGCCAAATACAATAAACGGTATCAGGTGTCTTGAGCGAGGCTATGCGCCATTTTTCAGAATAACTGAGTGACCGAACGGCAAGATAAAAATTCATTTATCGGGGTTATAGGGTCTCGCGGGAGAAGCACTTAGCCCGAGCTCAGAGGTGCCGTGTTTTTGCTTCCTGCTTCTTTTATCTTGCTCTCTATTATACTTGGAGGCTCGCTGCATTAGCTTCCCTCCCTCAACAAAAGTTCCACAAGGGGTCGTGTTCATGATGGTCAGGTGTGTGGAAGCAGAAAACGGACTTTGCAACTTGGTTGTTGTGTTGGTGTTCCCTTTGAATGTCGCGGCACTTCTTGCCGGGCGAAGACAGATGCATTTTCGAAATCATAAATATGCTCAGGGCTGATGTGTTTCTTGATTATTGTATTGTTGATAGTCTGCTTTCAAGCGGTCAATAAACACGGTTTGATGCTGGCCTTCGACGCCTAGAGTGAAATCCTTGCTTTCACAATCTCGAGCTATGATTCACTATTGACCGTCGTAGGGCTGTTGAAGTTGATTTCGTACAACGTAACGACGAGGAAACACGTGTGTGCATGTGAGGGGGTGACTTGTGACATAGATGGGTGAGCTTTGCTGTCGGCGCGGATGGAAGGGACGAATGTCGCGCATAACCTGTTTCAATTTCTGTACGTAGATTGTTTGATCCGGTGCTGGCTGTTCTGATCTATCTGCGAAAAATTCACTCGATAGGCCTAGGGTCGTTCTGTAGAGCAGGTCAGTTGGGCTGCAACCAATGTCAGTCTTCAAAGCTGTGCGGATACCGAGAAGAACAATTGGAAGTGCGGAAGTCCAGCCAGCTTTTGTCTCTTGTGTTTGCAGAAAAGTTTTGAGAGAATGGAGGAATCTTGCCACAAGTCCGTCGGATATGGGTTGATGTGCTGCTGTGTGGATTCTTGAAGTCCCTAAACGGGCATACGTTTGCAGAAAAGAAAAGATTCAAACTGTCGACCACGATGTGGTCAGGTATGAAGGCACGGTAAATCTGGTTACCTTCGATGAAAGCTTGGGCGACTGTCTCAGCACGAATGTCGTGGATCGGGATGGCTTCAACCCAACGTTTAAATCGGTCAACGCAGGTGAGCAAATAGGTATAGCTATTTTATGATGGCCATGGTCTAACTATATCTATGTGCATGTGATCCAGTCGGAGGTCAGGGGTGGCAAAGAAGGAAAAGGGCGAAGAAGTGTGCCGAGTGGGGGACTTTGGAGCGTTGGCACTGGAGGCAAGCACGTGTCCCTGCTCTTTCGTCACGATTTATGCTCGGCCAGATAAGTATGCGAATTAAAAGTCGTTGTGTTGCGCGAATTTCTGGATGTGACAAGCCGGGGAAGGACCAAACGTTTGCTTTCACAAACTGGATGGAAGGAAAGGACAGAAGAGCCGCTCGACATCTTCTGCCTCGTCGCCAGTTGTTGGATGTACAGGGTGTCACAAAAGAAAATTTACACGTTCGTTTTACCGCAAAAATAAACTAGGCATCGCCGAACGCTCATTTTCCGCCTAAAGGTAGCGCTAGAGGTCACAACCAAAGTTTCAGCCCAAATAAGAGATTTTCTGAAAATTTCAATGGGAAAATGGAGCCCATTTTTGCCCGTTTTCGGTTTCTGGTGCCATAGAGCGCCATGTATTCGAAAACGCTGTCGGCCGCTATTTTCCAATTGAAATTTTCAGAAAATAACTTATAAATTTTGATTAAGTTGTCAAATCGGGCTGAAACTTGGCATCTGGTTTTGACCTCTAGCGTTATCTTCGGGCGGAGAATGAGCGTTCGGCGATGCCTAGTTTATTTTTCCGGTACAAAGACCGTGTAAATTTTCTTTTCTGACACCCTGTATATCTGCAAAAATAAGATGAGACGAATGTTCACGAAGGTTTCTGAGCTCTTCATCCCCTGCCTGTTCTAGTGCTAGCGCTTGATAGTCAACAGCTGGCGGCAGTAAAAATCGCGAAGCCATGACAACGCTGGAAAGGGCGTCTGCCACGCTGTTGTTTTACGTGACGAATGTCGGCGGTAAATTTTGCCATGAAATCTGTAAGGATGCCGAAAATTTCCTTCTCCTCTAACCGTGAAAGCTCGTCTAGTGTCAAGACTACCTGACTAGAGATTTCAGGAAAGGGCGCCCCGACGGCTCACCCCTTTCTCTTGGAGGCAGACCATGGCCGCGTGGGAAGTGAGCCGAGTAGTCGTACCCAGCAGGGTGTCGAACCGGTCATTATTTCGGTTCGGTTAGGGTTCGGGTTCAGTAGCATTCTATTTTGTTCCGGTTCGGTTCCGGTTTAGGGTAGCGCACATAATATCACTACGGTTACTTGTTTTAATAAGCGAGAACCGGTTCGAACCGGTTCCTAACTCGAACTTCGAATATTGACCGAGCAATTCCTGCAGCCTTTTCCGAGCACGAGATGCTTGCACTAGAACTATCCCAAAACTACACCCTCTTCAGGCAGATCTGAAAACCCTGCACAGTGACCTGCGCAAAAGACACCATTTACGTGGCAAGGCTATTACTTGTATAATACTCTTCTTAAGTGAACTATATATAAGCGATCGGCTTTCCATTTTCATTGTGTCTTTTGCACACGCAGCTGGGCAATATTTCAAAATATGCCAGAAGAGGGCGTCATTTTGGGAAAGAGAGCTTGTGGCCGGTGCCATCTTTAGTATTTGTGCGTATAGCGACTGCTTTGTTCGCTTTCCGAAGCGACGAACGCGCACGTGCTGGGCTGTGAAGATCACACGATGGGATGTGATTTTGTAAACAGTAGAAAGGTCTCTAGCTCGGTTGTTTGCCCTCTATATGTTCTAGTTTGTCTTGCTCTTCACACACTTGCCTCTTTAGACATGGTACCGGTTTTCGACGCCCAGTAAGATGTCGCAGCTATGCCCCAGAGTGGCTGACAGGGGAACGAGAGACGTCGTGTGCGCAGTTGGAGTAGCTTATCGAATCCGGTCGTGTATACATCGGCCAGTCTGACCGATGTGTCAATGACCGGGCACGTGAGCACGCACTGTCACTGCGGTTAACCACGAGAGGCCACCTTCCTTTACACTGCAACACTTGCTTGTGTATGCTGAAATTTGGGAGCATCACGATTTTGGGGAGGCGGGCAGACAAAACTGCACGCGATCTGCTGGAAGCCTACGAGATAGGAAAGGAACGAGAGCAATGCGTCAGCCAAACCTCGATATATTTACATAAAAAAATGAATACCTTTCTTGAGCACGTGTTGATGCAGTGACGGTCTGGTAATTTGGTTGTCTTTCTTGGTGTTTTCTTTATGTTAAACGTTCAGTTGAAGTCCCCAGCGCTAGTCCTGTCCATTTCTTTCCTGCGTCCATGTTTGTTTGCGCGCTGCTACCAGTTTTTTATCTGTTTTCATTGTAACCAATCTCTTATGAAATACGGCCCGGGGTGCTTAAAGTGTTTACACAAATAAAATAAATTAAAAAAGACACAAAAAGCGGGGCGTATTAAGATCATTATATTTATTTGCAATTATTTTTATCCCACAGCGAAAGTAGAATATATTTAATCAAACCCCACTAGAGCATTTACATGTTATGACGTTTCATAGCGTTATACATACTTATGGCACCTTTCTGTTCGCGCGGAGTAACATGATGTTGTCTATCATCGACACTTTCAAGTTGGCTCGAAGCGGTGAAAGCATAAACTTGACACCTGAGAAGGTTCGCTCTTCGCTTACTTGCGTAGCTGGCGATGCCAGAGCAACATTTGGCTAGCTGATGGAGTTCTCGTCGTTCAACCTTGTGGATCTCCCAGTAACGAAGAATGTCTTCGTGATTGTTGAGGCGCGGCTCTTCGAGAAAATATTCCAGCAGGGGACCGATGATCTTGCTCGCTGCAGTGCAATGACGCGGTTCGGCCTTAGTCAACCTTTCTTGGGCTCCTAAGAACATGTCGAGTTCGTCTTTTTCTTGAGCACCGCATTCAGTGACGTTAACGTTGCTTTTGCACGCTTCCTGAGGGCCGTATTTGCTGAACTTGAGGCTTGGGCGAGTTGGTACGACATACTTCGGAATTAATTGTTTCTGTGTTCTCTTTGTGCTGTTTTTTATACCGATGTATATTATGGCCGTGTTTTTTTTTTTTTTTCTTTAAATGACCTTGCGTGTTTTTGTTGTTTTTTTGGCGGGCAGCAGTATATTGTATTTCGGATCTGAGCAAATTCCAGCGCAGAAAACGTCGTTGCCAAGAAGCATTGTTTTTCTTCTCTTTAGGGCTTATACTAGGCTGCGGCGCCGAAAGCAGAGGTTGATTTCGTTGTCTATTTATGGCACCTAAGCCACGCTCCAAAAAAGTCCCCGAGAGTCAACCGCTCTAACTGAAGAAACTTCGTTGTATCTCTCGCGGGCTTCAGGGCTGCGGCCAAGCGGCCAAGCGGTGCTTTGAAATCGCCGCCGCCACTACCGCGCTGCCAGGGTCAATCCAAGAAACAAGGTAAAGTTGAAGCTGTCCAGATGCCAAAGTAGAGGCGGGAACTGAGCAAGCTCGCTGACCACGCGTTTCCTCTGCGTCTCTGCTTTTGATGATAATGCATTTTTTATTTTGTATGCAAAAAAAAACAAAACAAAAAAACGAAAGGTACAAATATCTGACAGTATGTAGGATTAGGCTCGGCAATTTAAGAAAGAAATACGCCCGCAACGTTTCCCAATAAGATGATTTATTGACAAAAGTGGCCCTGAACCGCTTTCGTCGGACCGGTAACCACCAAATCAGATTATGGTTTCGTTCCGGTTCGGGTTCAATATGAAGCGTTCGACTTCGGTTTGGGTCTTGTACCGGTTCGGTCAAAAATAACGGTTTTGATCTGGTTTTCGGTTCGGGTTCGGTTCGACACCCTGCTTCCCAGAGCAGGGTCGGAGGCTTCTTTGCGGAGCGACGGCAAAAAGGGTGATAGGAAGGCCTTTGCACCTTCCCTCATATACGTGGAGAGGGTGCTGGCACTGGAAGGCCAAAAGGACTGTTTAATGTCTCTGATTGGACAAAAAAAGTGTCCGCGCACTGGTTTTGAGGTAGTTTGAACAAGCGTTTGCGCGAAGAGAGCCGTCATTCTCCCGCGGTCCCGAGGACCCCGCGTAACTTTGTCTTGCGGGACAGAACTTGCCGTATACGGCAAGGGACTTGGCGCCTAGGCGCAATTGTGGGCGTTGGGCTGCCGGAAGCGGCAGCAGCAGCGTGCCAGGCCCAGTATTATATTCGCTCTCCAGTGTAAATATTTATCGAAACGTCCATCACATCTGCTCCGGTTTCTGATTGCAGAGAACGGCAAGCACTCGCAACACAACGTTCAACGGTCACCCAGCCCCGATCGAAACCCGAGGGAGACAACACAACCGGGAAAACAACCACCCTCAGGGAGATCAAAACTTTATTAAAGCCATATGACGAATCTCGCGAGGTGTATGATTGTCGTACGAAGATGTTGAAGAAATTATATGTTGTTTGTAATCAGTACGTGGAACTCGCGACCTTCGATGAAAATGACGAAAATGTTTTATGGCGAGGGAGATCGCTAGCAATTCTCTCCCAAATTAATTTTATTTCTTCTAGCATGGTAGGAGATTTTTTGAGAAAAATGACGAGTGTTGCCAGCTTTTATTTACATATTGTTGCAACGCAGCTCGTGTGGCCTTGTTTGATGCATCAACCATGATGTTTACGATGCATCAACCATGGCGTGGATGCAAAAAGGATTACGGCCGAAGAAAGGTATTCTTCGATTTGTCTGAAAGCCTTAGACGTGTGGTCTGTACAAGCCAAAGGTGTAGAGTTTTTCGTGTGGCCAGCAATAAATCAGTCAGTGAACGAAGGGTGTGGGCGCATTTTGGAATAAACCGCCGTTGAAAGTCAACTAGTCCTAAGAATTCTCGAAGTTTCCGAATGCATGCCGGCAGTTGAAAGTTGGCGATAGCTTCTACCTTAGCGGGACTAGGGTGAAATTCTTTGACATGATGTCGCGAAAGTCTGGATCGCGGACGCCGAAGGCACACCTGCTTTTGCTGATGATGTAATGCCGTTGTTGACCATGCAATCAAAACGCGTGCTGTTCATGGTCTTGTTCTTTTGCGCTAAAAAATAAATGTCGTCAAGGTACGCGAAGCAGAAAGGAAGGCTGCAGACGATGGTGTCAATGAAACGCTGGAACGTTTGTGCAGCCTTTCTCAGGCCAAACGGCATACGTTGCTATTCGAGAAGGCCAATGGTGACACTACAGCTGTTTTTGAGATGTCTTCTTGTGCCACTTTAGTATGATGATATACCTTCATTAAATCCACCTTCAAAAAGATCGTTGATGCTTGCAATGAGGCCGTAAAATCCTCAATGCGTAACAGTGGGTACCTGTCAGGCACAGTTCCGTTGTTAAGCGCGCTGTAATCTCCACATAGTCGCCGGTCACCGGGGTCTTTATTACGCACCATATGTAGTGGAGATGCCCGTGGACTGCTAGAGGGTTGAATAATTCCGAATTCTAATATATGGGCGACTTCGTTTTTAGCAATCATAAGCCGTGCTGTAGGCAGGCGTCTAGAACAAGCATACACTGGTGGTCCTACGGTTGCGATATGATGTTCTACATTGTATTTAACAGGCGTGTCGAAGTTGATGAGTGATGTCAGTTGCGTGTATCCATTGAGTAGCGCTTCATATCTGGAGGGTGGAAAGCTATGAATAGCGGTTTCGGTGGGAGGTTGTTGGCAGATGATGACACTCACAGTTAGGTTGGTGGTGGAGTCGAGAAGACGTTGGTGTGCGTATCTACCAGTGTTGGAACTAACGCGTTATAAGTAACGACATTACTGGTAATGCGTTAGTTTTTTACTAACGCACTAACGTACTCGTTAGAGTCTCAAAAAAACTAGCGAGTAAAGTAACGTTATTATTTTACGGTATCCCCTATTAAATTACGATGCCGTTACTCGTTACTTTTAGTTAAAAATGGCCGCACAATTGTTGAAAAAAATATTTATTTTTTATTCTCTACACTACGTAAAAGTGGCAAAGAAACCCCAACAAAGCTATGTATAAGCGGCGTCATTTCAAACTCCTTCGGAAGACACTTTTAACGTTCCCACGACCGGGCCCAAAAGGCGCGAAATTATCGCTGCGCGGAACCTTTAAGCCTCCTTGGTGCAGTCTTTGTATAGAAACTGCTAAGATCACCTTCGCCGCACCCTGAGCAAACGTCTCGCTGGAAAGAGACATCCGTTTAGAACGCAACAGTCTGCCGCCTCTCGAAACATTTCGCCTCAGCGTGCATAGCTTCAGCTGGTCACACCCATCTCCTCAAAACAAATAAATTCTCGTTCTGTCAACAACAGGAAGGATAAACGCTAAGTTTAGAAGCGTCGATATTCCCGCGCTTTGAACCAAAACAAGTGGCAAGGTTATCACAGCTTTGAACGGCCACCGTCACTAGAGAGACGTCATCATCTTTTAGAATCCCTGCCCCCGTGCTACAAAGCTGCGGGCTCTAGGTGGAGAACGGCTCCCGTTCACAAGGTCACCTCCCACTAAATCTTCTGCCCATTTTTTCTTCCATAGCGCCTCAAAGATAAGACGAAAGCCTGCGTCACCACCACGGACAGCACCTTCTTTGTATCGCAGTTCGTCAGACATAAATACCATAGTCTTCTACAAGAAAGCACTCCGCATACTCCCTGGCGTTCAAAGACTGAATTCTCTACTGCTGGACGCTGCGTCCGCGCCTTCTCCTGCTCGCAGTTCCAGGTTGTGTGGGAAGGCTAGCGTACCGTTTTTCTTGCAGACATATTCATAGCAGTGATAGTGATGGCTTTCGTTTACTTCGCACTTACTTTGCTGCTGCCGGCGTGAAAAAAAAAAGGTTTTTGGCCGTGAAAGAAAAACTTAGGCTAAAGAGCTTATAAAAGCTCGCCACCCTTTTTAGTCATATATGCACGTAAAGATACTGCGAGTACGCATGTGATTATAACCAAAGTATCGCCGGCGCTATACTTCGTTTATAATCCCTCATAATCATCTATAGGAATAATTATTGGTTATAATAAGCGATCGGTGTACTCTTTTTGTTGCTTGTGTATCCTAAACCAGACCGTGACCAAAACCGGCCACTAAACACTAAAATTGATTGATTGATGCGTTTACTTTTTTAAAAGGTTGTACAGATCGACACTCAAATATATGTTTTAGTTGCCATCATTCTTTAGAGCATAAGGCAAATATCTATAAACTTTCAAAACACAACACCAGAATTTAAAGCAACACGACGATCCCTCAAATACCAATTGGCATTTATTTGCTGCCTAGTTTACTCGCCTGAACTCTCAGTGCCTCATATTCTTGTAACAAAACACACACAAAAAAACACTCTTTTAATGGCAGACTGTTTTTAATACTACCAATTTCGTGTTCTCTCAGCACAATACAAAACATTAAAAAAAAATCACTCGGAACATGGAAATGCAAAGAAAATGTCAAATACAACAGGTCGTAATGATTGCCAAAAGCACTGGATATATGCAGGACACCTTTGGCATTGCCGACACGTTAATTTGTGTGAAGTGTTTGCTTCTGCAGGGATCTCCAACGCAGTCTGGCATTTTTGTTGGCTGGGATTCTTTCGCAGTTCCAGTGGTTACTTGCTCCATCAAATTCCTGAAATGTAAATAGAAATAAAGGCGAAACAGTATTACGCCCCTAGTTTATCGAAGTTTCAATAAAATTCAAACACACGTACACACGAAAAACCTACATACACATAATACGTACAAACGTATAAGCCGCGACCCGACTCCGTGTGCCATGAATGCCGGTAGGCTGTATACCTTTATCCTGGTACGTTTCTATGCAATTTCCTCATTGCGTATGAATGCAACGCAAGGAGAGAAAATTCGATAAAATTCAATCTGGAGGAAAATGCAATCGCGTGGAACGCGGTGTCACGACTTGTTTTCTCGAGATTCCACGTGGTTTCCTGGCTTGGTGCCCTAGATGATCTTTAAAAAACCATTAACAACTCAAGCATGCGCGCTGAAAGAAAAAGCAGCAAGAGAAAATGAAAGTCGTTTACAATTCTCTGTAATGCCGAATTAGAGCGCAGCTCTCACTGATCTCTATGTCTATTTGCTGGATCGCGTTTGACTAGCTCCGCCTATGGACGGGAATGCGGCCACAGTCGGCCATCTTTTTGGTAGAGTTATATCATATCTAGCCATCATAGGTAATATGGCGGACAGTGCTATTGCGGCAGACTGCCATGAAATAGCCGTAGATCTAGTAGACTGTACCGTGGGTGATATTTCGTGCTTCATTGAAGTTGTTCGGCGAAGCAGATTCTTGAAACCCGGCGTGAACGATAGACTCATCTTTGAAGACCCGGCGAAAGTTCTGCGAAAGCGCAGCACCGGGGGAAAGCAGCGCAGCTCGCATCGAAAACACACTCCGTACCGTCGTCCGCTTTCGATGCTTCTTTGATGCGACTTTCGATGCGTGCTGTGCTGCTTTTCCCCGGTGCTGCGATTTCGTGAACCTTTCACCGGGTCCTAATAGATCGGGCTACCGTTCGCGCCGGGTTTCAAAAATACGTTTCGTCAAACAATTTCAATCAAGCACGAAATATCACCCACGCTATTTCGATGGCAGCCTGCCACCACAACTACCACAACGCTGTCTGCCATGGATGGATGATAGTGGCTGCAGCACCTTACACATAATGACAAATACACAGCGCAAGAGGGCAAAAAGGGAAGAGACACACCGGATAGAACAGAGCGCTGACTCGCAACTAGACATTTTAATAGAAGAAAAAGAGAAAGAAGAACATTTTGGTCACCATAAATATTCTTCTTTCTCTTTTTCTTCTATTAAAATGTCTGTTGCTGTTACGATTGATATAAGTGTGGCCAGGATACCAAATGGTACAAGCCTATTAAAGTATTACGTGCATTAGAATATTGTATGCATGTGTTTTTAAGTGCGCTGGAACTTGAAATTGTTCTTGAAGAGATCGAATGAGCGGTTTAACGGAGATAAGAATAATATTTTTATTATAGTCTCACATTGAGTGAGTCTAAAATATAGACGCTTTGCAGCAGCTGTGCATGGGCACCGCCATAGCTGACCTTCAGTTTTTGTTTCCTCTTATTGCGTTCAATTCACGTCATCATTACCCTAGCAGGGCAGGTCACTGCCATTTTAGATTCTATCGTAACCTTCTCCCCAGCATCGGCCTTTGTGAAGGCTCGTCAAAATTCGCTTCAATGACTCGGCATCTGGATAAGACAAGAGAAGGTCAGCAATGGCTGCCGTAATCTGGCGCGTGTGCAAAGCGTCTATATGTCCAAGGTAAATGCCTTGAAGGTATTTTGATATAATATCACTACAAATGAGATCTTATTAATAATATTTATAGTGAGGTCAACTAAATTGTTTTGAATGTGGCAAAATAACATCCATATGGCGAAGCTGTTTTTTATGCGATGTTAAATGCGAAAGGCCTGCCGCACCGCGTCCTATGACAATTCGATAACATTTGAAAACTCAAGATTTGGTCCGGTGAACTTATATCGAATCAAATTGGGTTCGGTGAGCTTGCCACGAGAATGCGATTTTTATGTATTGTTTTCGACTTCTTTATAGTAATAATTGTCTTTGTTTCTTCGCAAAATATTGTCAGAATTCAATACTATCGGTCTCCGTAACCCGATAATTAGAAAATACACAATTATCCGGCGTTCTTAAATTTCTCTTTAAATATTACTGATTCATAGTCCTTAAAGACCCTTAAATTGACATCTTGGGGCTAACACATTTTCTGTTTATTGTGTAGTTTATTGTTTAGAAGATTGCTCCAATACTATTTTTGCTTTTATGGACGCGTGAATTGGTGCTATGAGCTGGAAGTTTTATTGAGCACGGCTGGTTCTCAACCCAATAATTTAAACAGAGTGAGCAGCAAGGACCAAGAAACTTTTAGCCTTTCAAGGTTGTTACGCTGTCTATGGATTCCTTTCGAAACAAAGAGTTCAGCACGTGAATGCTCGTTCTGTCCTGAATAAACTTTTAAGGCATTAATAACTGACTCAATGCCTTGCGCAATATAGCTGCGCGACACATTTTGCGGTGCAGTTTAGAATTGACAGATGTGTTTTATTACAGAAAATTATAATAACAAAAGTACAACTTACCCTTTTAGCAAGATGGGCCTCCAAAGTTCGCACTCCTGAAGCCTTGGTAGTCGCCCTCTTGTGTAATTCTGTGGCTGAAGGTAGATGCCCTCACGTTTGCTTGTGCTGTACTCTGGCCATTCTTCGTTCGATAATGGGATTGATGGCTTTCTGTCAATTAAAACAGATACGTTCTAATAATAGCGGGTGGGTCAATGTTTAAGTGCGTAAGATATTCGACCTATTTTTATCCTTAACATCGAACAAAAAGATTAAGAACCTGGCAAGAGTTCATCCAAAATTTCGTGCGTTTCCAGAGCCCACTGCTATAAGGAAATTCAGCGACAGATTATGTTCACCCCAAAAATCAAGACATGACTTTTACTCATTCTCATCAAACTTACCCATTCCTGATGAACGAAGTCCAAGTTGCCACGACCTCCTTCATAAACGACAGCTCGGCTGAAGTGTACATAGCAGCCTTTAATCTCTTCTGGGCATTACTATCAAAAGGTGATGTAAATCGAGTGCTATCATTTATAAATGGCAGGGAACCAAGTGTGAATGCTAAATCATCCATGTGAGTGACTCCATAATTCTCAGGCCAACCACTGAACGATGGGCGGTGCGCGAAAACGTATCTATACAGTTTAATACCCTGATTGGACGCGACTTCAGTGAAAACGTTCGTAGGACAGTCAATAGTCATATCACCAAACATGTGCATAGCTCTATTGAAAAGAGATGTCTTGTTATGTTCAACTGAGCTGTCACCAAAATAAGTTGTAGCAATAGTCTTGGCAGTCGTGAGCGGAATCTCCAAGAGTGTTGACAGGAAGAAAGATACTGCAAGCCTGATATCTATCTTTGTAAGTTGCGTCAGTTGCGGTGCGAAATATTTAATAAAATATATAAAATACGATCCTTCATTTGAAGTTGTACCTAAAAGGATGCGCTTGCTCGTCAATGAGTGCCATGCGTCAGCTAAAAACAAACTGTGAGGAAGAAACTCGTCGCCGTAGACTGGAGAAAATACCTTATTCACTCCGCCTGCTTTTCTGAGAGTATTGTAAATATAATCCACGTTTGACTTTTCTAAACACTTCATAATTTTCTGAATGTTTTCAGACCAGTCTGGATCACCATCGAAACATCCCAAGTTTCCTGCGACGCCCAAAAACTTTCCAACGCCGGCGAGACTGATTCCTAATATCATTGAGAGGGGTGTAGAGCTTTGAAGAATAAGCTTGTGAAAAAGGCCGCGACTATGGGGCGATATAGCTTGAAGTCCCGCGGAGATCGCTCCAGCGCTGAACCCATTGAGAGTGACGTCGTTGGGGTTTCCACCAAAGCGGCCGACGTTCCTCTTCACCCACTTCAAGGCAAGGTTCTGATCCCATAAACCGTAATTTCCGGGAAGCGTTTCTGTTCCAGACGACAAGAATCCAAGGATGCCAAGACGATAATTTAAGGTCACATAGACGACGTTCGAAAGAGCCACAAAGTTGGCTGGGTCGTAAAGGAACAACGCTGAGTCTCCCCACTGGAACGCGCCACCGTAAAAAAACACAACCACTGGGAGGTTCGCAATGCATGTACCAGTTGACGGGCACGCGGATGACGGCCTCCAGATGTTCAGATAAAGGCAGTCTTCGGAGGCTATAGAGGTGTTCTCATAATGCAAAGTAATATTTACGCCGAAGGGAAAGTCAAATTGCCAGCAGGGTTTGGGTTTCTTGGTTGCGCTGAGGACCTCTTTCCAGGGCTTTGCAGGCAACGATTTTTGAAACCGCAAATTTCCCACCGGCGGTTCTGCATAAGGAATGCCATAGAAGGCGTCAACTTGTTCTCCAGAGACGGTTAACTTCCGGCCAGCGACGGCCCCGAGGTCGGTGTGAACAACAGGGACGTCGGTCAAGGTACTCCCACTGGGAAACGTCAAGTACGCACAAATGTGAAGAAGAACTGAACTGAGGGTAATCTCTGTAGCCATTTGGATGGCGACAGAAGGGCAGAATTGCGAAGGTGTTCGAGCTGTCGTGTCCCAAGATGCCACAGCCGAGTCTCTATCCTGTACTCACGAATAACAATCCAATTCTGAAACCCCAGCATTCGGTTTCGTCTTGCAACATCCTTGTGTAAGCTCATCTATGCATAATTTGGCTTGACCTTGGCATATTATCCTCATCGATGTGACCGCGTGGGTGTAGCCAACAAACACACCCCTTGTTTTTTCTGGGTATGTTCAAGGTCTATGTGCACGCGCGTTTATACCAGGCTATAACAGTTATGCACTCAGACTTTCTCACCATCATTTCTTCTTCTCGTTTGCACAAACACATTCAGTTTTGACGTTTTATGCACTTAGGTGCCTTACCTTCGATGTTAAACGTGAGAAATTAGGAAAACGAGGGCAAGGAGTTTAGCTTCGATCCACACTACAAATACCGGTGCCCCAATATTAGTTCTAAATTAAGTCAGCAAAGAGAAATACGATGCATAAACCACTATTACAGATAGAGTACTATTCGTCACGCGCAACTGTAAAACAGGGACCAACCCAAAAGTCATCACGAAAAACAATGGCTGATAGGCGCCGTCTTGTGTAAGTAAGGTAAGGATTCAGTATGTCACCCACTATAAACCAGGTGGCGCCGCCTTTCTTTAGCCGATTGTAGCAACTCTCACTTTAAGGGGTATTCACACGAGGGAGAAATCCCGGGGATTTTTCCCCGGCACGCGCGCATCACGAGACGAAACCGCGAGGCTTTTGCACATCGCAAAGCCTGAAGTCTTCGTCGCGGGATTCGCGTGCCGGGGAGAAATCCCCGGGATTTCTCCCTCGTGTGAATACCCCTTTAAGGGGGATCCACACGAAGGAGAAATCCGCCACGTTCCTTAAAGGGATGACATACGTCATCCCTTTTTGACGTCTCGCGGCGCGTTTCCTCCGTGGCGGAGGCGCGGAGGTTTTGTGCTGACAGCACGAAAGCTCCGCAAGTGCACGCGGCGGAGCCGGGGACGGAGTTTGCCGGGATGTTGACGTCACGACATCCGTCCGCGGAGTTGGGCTAGCCATGTCCGTATGTCCGTTCGCCGTCGGGTGCACGTGCTCCTGCTCGTGAGCTCACGCGCTCATGTGTTCACGAGCACGTGAGCACGTGCTCCCGTGCTCGTGTAGGGCAAAAAAAAAAAAAACCGCATCTCCACGTGGTGAATGATGTTGATTGGGGCGAAGCTCTGGTGGTGCTTGTCTGCGTAGACGGTGAGCCGCACCATGCTGAGCCTTTCGTTCGTTTTCATCCATGTCAGAAAGAGAATGTGTGGTATGGAACGTGGTTATATAGACGATTGCAAGCTGGGCGACTGACCGCCGCCATGTCTCTGCTCGAGCAGGCACGGCCGTGCGATTACGAGCTTGCCAAAGCTACGTTCACCCGCGCGTTGCATGCGCTTGCACGCATAGGGCACCACTTGTGGCGCCATGCTTGCAATTGTCTATACGCATTTGAGCATTTGACCGCAGCGTGACATGGATGAAAACGAACGAAAGCGTCTACGCAGACAAGCACCACCAGAGCTTCGCCCCAATCAACGTCATTCACCACGTGGAGATACGTTTTGTTTTTTTCTACGTTGGGGTAGTTACGTTATTATTGCTCTCGTGCTCGGAATATGATAGGCAACTCCTGAAGTACAGCACACTGCCTAAACTAGTGTACGCCTTAGAGAAAATTAGCCTTGATACACAATAAGACTTCGAGAAAAAGTCACGTTTCCTGTACGATTCGGAAGGTACATTGTAGTGACATTCCGGTTTTCGTTGCAAAAATAATTTTTATATTATAAACAGGGATTCTTGATCATGTCGATGGCGCGCCTCCATTAGCCACATAGAGTTGTGAAGACGTACGACAGGCAGAAGGTGAACAGGAATATGCACACAAAATGAAACCGATGATCTCATGTAAGCGGGAGTAGAGCACTGCACGGGCCCGGGCCAACCCGAAAGCCCGAGCCCGGCCCGGCCCGCGATCCGAGCTCGGGCCGGGTATCACGTATTTTCTCTTGCCCGGGCCAGGCTCGGGCTAAAACAGAAACGTTTTCGGGCCACGCCGCCCGGGCCGGCCCGGGCCGTGCCTGGGCAGCTGTGTGCCGTAAATTCTAAATTGTTGAGAACAAAAAGTTTGCTCATTCGTCTTTTAGGTTCATTGAAAACAAAAAAAAGAAAAGGCGAAGTGCAAAGTCAGTACAGCGCCGTTCACAATAACAAAAATGCGTCTTGCAGTTAGAAAGCCTTCAAGCTGATAAAAGAAAACGCATGGACTCCATTAGCATAGTGGGACAGTGCGGCCAAGAAAACGAGGGTGTTCCGATCGCAGGGTACTACATGATTGTATTCTCCCTCTGCTTTTCAAACTAAAAAAAGAAGAAAAAAACGTGACTTCGACTTTGTACTATCTGGGGGGCCTTACTATGCCACCAAAAACAAGCTAGTGTACCCTAGACAATTTTTGTTTGTTTATGCAGCCGTTTGAAGATGCACTAGCGAGCTAGTTCTTGTTACTTCTTTTCGTCTAGAATATTTCCGGGTTTGAAATGACCAATATAATCGACCTATGTCCTGCCCATGCTCCCAATCGTCCAATAAGAATAGACTCTTGACGAGTCCATCTTTCGTGAGAAACTTTTCTTGTATTATCATTTATTTTGTATACTGCCACCTTCTGTCTCGGTGGCAGCAATGGAAGGTGGTGCGCCAATATCAACAATCAGCGAGCTTAGCATCATCTACGCACTACAGACTTGTTGAGAGGACAAACTTGAAGGCTCTGTATGGGAAACATTTCTCACAGCCGTGGACTCCAGAATGTTGGTGCCCAAAGGACATGTTCAGTGTCGTTTGTTCAAAGACCAGGACGTCTCATCTCAGTCGTCACAAGTGCAAAAATTCATCGAACAGCGCAAGTATTTATTTTTTATGACCTCATTGCCCTAAAACTCTAGTGCCCGCGGACGTAAAGGAGAAAGTGACAACCGCGTGCGGGAAAGTATAATCCATGCTATACTTCGTCTCATCTTAGCCTGAACTATTGTTAGTTGCGCATGCTAAAAGCGCGAGCTGTTCACCTTGAATGAAGCCTCGGTGGTCTCAGAGCGTCCGTGCAGCGGTTGCTGCGGTCAAGGCAGCCAAGGTTACCCGCTCGCGCTAGCACATCCTTCGCAGTTAGTCCATGCTAAGGTGAGACGAAGTATAAAGGCTGTCTGCTCTCTGTTCGAGGAGATAGAAGCTCAACTGGAGTCAAGGAACAATCCAGTGATGGAAAGCGTGAACAAGACAACACTCAACGAGTTAATCGAGTTCCTGCAACCCTTCAAAAATGCCAGTGACGCGCTCAAGGGAAAAAACGTCCAACACTTAATCTGATTGTGTTCTACGCTTTTGCGTTGAAGAACCATCTTGAACATGCTCCGGTGTCTGCAGTAGAGGCAGTAGAAATCAAGCAGATCAAGGTCCGTGCTCGGTCATTTCCTGGACGTGAAGCTAAAAATTTCACTCCTTCACAAGACCGCCACATTATTCTGGCTTCAGTTCCGCCAACTCAGCATGTTGCCCGAGGACGAGCTCCTTGAAGTCTACACTGTTAGCAAGTCCCGTGTATTTGGCGAATATTTGGGGTGAAAAACACGCTATTTACACAAATTACCATAAATTTACACGATGAGTAACGGATAATTCGTTCAGAAATCATGCGAGGTTGTAAAAAACGTGTTTTGGTTCGGTCATACACGCATAACCGTGTAGCCGACCTAGATAACACGCATCGGCCCCGGCGACGACCGCGGCATTGCCGGCTATCGAAGCACCGGAATGCTTGGGGACACACTTAGAAAGGACCGTCGAGACAAATGCCGCAGAAAGAAACATGTCTAGGAGACAGATATGCACCAAAAGCAATTGCGCCATGTCGCAGGACGTTGGCGAAACCCGCACTTACCGTGCTCGCCGTCATTTTCTGGTCGATGGCAATGCGGCTTCCCTCATGTCGCCCATGTTTGTATTAAGTTTAGGGGTCTTGATAATAGTTTCTTACACACCACAAATAAAGTCATGGGTCAAATTATTTGTTCCAAACAGTTAAAATGGATCAAAAATGTGAACACGTGACATTGCAGTTGGTTTAGTTTTTGCTTCAATCTTCAACTGCAAACGATCTGGCCACGGCGCAAGCGCCGATGTACGCTGGAAGCCAGAGCCTGTTGGCTTTCGTCGCTTTCGCTGTTTTTGTTTGACCGGAGAAAATCTGTCAAGTACGCATGGCGCCGCTACTGTTTCGGTTTGACGGGACGCGAGAAGCTTCGCATAGAGCTTCGGAGTTTGCGAGCGCTTAGTGAAGACGTGACCGGAGAAGTGCCCCTGTGATGTTCCTGGAAGACGGAAAGTACCATTCGTAATCGTCGTGTGTGCTTTGAAAGCGAAGGGAGTAACAGGGTCCACGATTTCGCAACCACAAGCCAAGGTTCACGACAGCGCGGCGTTGACTTCGGCGATCTCGTTCTGTTTGGTGCAACCCGGCGATGCGAAAAAGAGCTGAAACGTTCGTCGTGTGTGGTGCGGTGCTTTGTATTCCGGGTCTGTTTCAACCACGCTTTTAACACGGAGCGCAAATTGTTTGTTGCGGGGTGGAGGTTCAACGGGTACAGTCCCGTCGTCGTCAGCTGATCCGGTCCAGCTGGTCCGGGAGGACGCAGCGAACGTTTTTAAAAGTAAATCTTCCTTCGTTCCGTTTCAAACTGTGGAAGTATCCCGACACATACCGTCAGTAAGAAGCAGCGGGCGTTTTCTACAAAATTACGTTGTTTTAATTGAATAATGGACTCCGGAATGTTGTCTTAAATCTGCCGTTTCTTATGCTTCGTGTTGGACTGCGTTTGCACAGCGACGCACACCGCTCGAGTAAATGATTCGGTCCTGCAATGAGTTAGTTGCGC